ACTATATATATATATATATATATATATATATATATGAAGAAGTTATAGTACATGAGAAACTAAGAATATGCTTTGTGCAGATGTTATGTCAAATTGAAAACTGGGAAACAGGTTCTCTAATTAGAGAGATTCACCTCTTTAAAAGATTTTTCTGTGCAAAAAGAACTTTCATCCACCAAATGAAGTATAAAAAAGATTTGGACATATACTGTGTTACCTGGCGTGGGATACCTTGAGAAGAGAAGTATGATGTTTTGTCACTGGGAATGCCTTTGGTGTTAATCAAAGACTGGCCTATGTTACTAACACATGATACCAATCTCTGATGCACATTTGATGGAGAAAAAAAAAAAAGACTGCCATTTTTCAAGATTGTAAAGCATTTCCAAGCTTCTGGGTTGTAGTGTCCAAAATATGCCAGAGTAGTTCAACTGGATTTAGGTCTGGAATCTTGTGTTGCAAAGTCAAAATCTATAAGTTATTTGTATCAGACCACTCCTGAACATGATAAGTAATATGACCTGGTACATTATAATGTTGAAAGGGGTGAAGGTTTTCTTCAATATGTGTCCATTAATGCAGTTAGCACAGCATTATCCAGAATGTCACAATATGACAAAGCTCCCTTAACTACTACTATTTGATTTGAGCTTGTTCCAGTAGAATGGGCCCACACAATGATGCTTTTTCTATTACACTTCATGACTGAGACAAAACTAATAAACAAAGCAACTTACCAACTGTCCATCCAAAGCAAACAATAATTAGAATGATGAACTGTGCAAAAGCAGCATGGAGATTTCTGTACATAAAGAATGAGACCACCAACAGTTCTGAACTCATTCAAGCCTTAGGATTTAATGCTAGATGTGCTGATTTATTTCACAATAAGTTTCAAAGTTCATAGTAATCACTTGTTGTTAAAAGCCTGTGTAATCCTTTCCTGACTGCATCTTGGCTCCAACTAGTTGACTGTGGTAGTTGCTGACTTTTATAGACCATATACAGCTGTGCACAATAGGATTCATAGCAAATTCCAAAAGAACAGGTCTATGGCTACCTCAGAATCTGCTGTTTCAATACTTATCTTAATATAGTGTATATTTTCATTAGCGCCAGTAACTGTTGTAAGATGAGCATAACTCAGGGCAATATATAAAAATATATTTATGAAATGATCACTCAAATAATTTTAAAGCTCAAAGTCAACTTTTATGTTATTTTCTTTAAATTTTTTCTTATATTTTCACAGTTAATTATCAGTATTTAATGGAGAATATATATTTTTGTTTTGTATTCCATAAATTATCTTGTTTGTCATTCTGTTATTGTTCATTTTGTTCCTTTGATGAAATCTTCATCTCTGAAATATTAAGTCACCTAAATTCTAATTGCAATACATGATTTTGTTGACTCTTTTCCAGTTTTACAACCAAGTTAAAAAACAAAACTATTTAGCAATGATAGGTACGAAAAGAAATGGCAATGAACTGAACAATTTGTTACCTATAAATATAATAACTGCATAAATAATAACTTACTCTTTTAATTTATAACTTTTTAACAGAATTACTATTGTAATTTATAAAAGTTAAATTTCTTTAAATTTAACGTAAATATAATTCAATAGTTACAAACAAATTTGACTTTGGTATTTAAAAGTAAATAGCATAGTACAACGACAACAGTTACGTAGACAGATGTTTTAGTTTTACTCGGGCTCCAGCACTATAGTATAGTACAGTAGAAGTAAGCGATTTGAATTACAAATACAGAACGGTAGTCCTGGTAACTGCTTTATAATATAACGTGTAACTGATAGCTAGCTTATGTTAGCCGTTTTTAGAACAACCTAATCTCAACAAAATATTGTCCAATAAAATAAAATAGCACTGCTTGATTATTTTAACTTAAAGCAAGGGATAAAAGTACACAAATAACGTCAGTTCTTACCTATTCTATTAGTCAGGCGCACATTTTCTTCGTACACCCTCTTCCGGCAAAACCCTAAAAACGAAGTAACTTGAAGTGTAAAAGTAAATATTATTATTTACAAATTGGACCAGAGGGCGCTAAAAGCGCTTCTACAACTTTAACAAAATTATTGGTCGAAGTTATAAAATAATTATAATACCTTATTTAGTATATAGATTTCAAAACCACTAAAAAACAGTGACTGCTTAAGGTTAGAAAAAATATAGAAAGTTAAACTTTTAAATATACTGAAACATACTACTCAAAGCTTTATCTTGTAAGTATAATTTAAAAATTTTCAATATTAAAAAATAAAAGTTGTTAGTCTATAAATTAAACATTTATACCGTATTCGATCAATCGCATTTCTTGCATATATACATAAGTAATAGTGCTCAATTATGCGAACGATTAATTGTGAAATTGAACAAGTAAGTTTATGATGAGACCCACTGCCGTGAGAAAGTTGTGTTAGTTATAACAAGTCGCCATAAATTTAAAATGCAATGTAGAATTTAATGTTAAGTTAAAATAAACGGGTTTTCAATTTTCAAATCCCGCAAGTATGTTTATAACAACCAAATTGAAAAGGCAAGGTTCGGTGACACATGACCCTTTTCTGTCTCTTTTCCATTCTTTTCTCTATCAAGATCTCACACATATGATCTATCTTCTATATCATTGGGCCCGGCATGGCCAGGTGGTTA